GCGGGACATTTGCGTGTCTCCAGAGCCAAGAGATTTCAATTTCTCACAGAGGGGGCCGGATGGGAAAGGTGGAACCGGGGCTGACATTCTTCTCCCCTGAAGCCTAACGTGCTCAGCGTGAAGGGTAGTCCCGGGCTGCCCACGGTGTCCTCTGCTACGCGGCTGCCACAGCAGCTCTTCTTAAGGCGTTGGTGCCGCAGCCACTTGCATCAGCAAACCTCCCCGCCCCCACAGCACCCAAGAGCTCGCACCCTCGTATGACACCCCCGTGGGGAACTTGGGGTCCCACGAAGTCCTCCTTTGCAGATATCAGCCGCCAAGATGCTGATCCTCTGGACCACGGTCGTCACCATGGCCGTCCTGGCAGGGGCCCAGGTGCTGCCTGTGGCCCCGGCATTGCCGGAAATACCCCCTCTTCCCTTGGATATCAAACTGAGCAGCCTACCCTCCCTGCCAGCCCCAAGTGTCCCCCTAAGTCGGCCAGCTCCCACAGACCAGACAAACCAGATGAACACAAAACAGGGCGCGAAGGCCTCAAAGGGCAAGTGTTCGTCGGTGGCCAGCATCTACATCGCTGACACCAACCTCGTGGCAGGTGAGTCAGCAGGGTCTCAGCTGCCCAGCTCTGCCCTTCCGCCTGCATGTGGGCCCACGGGCTGCTTTTGCCTCGGGCCTAGGGCCTCTCGCAAGACCAGGCAGGGCAGTCCCCTTGGGGCTTGGGAAGAGAGCCCCAGTGCGCGGGACCCGTTGCTGGCCTTTCAGGTACTGGGGTGCTGGAGTGGGCCTGGGAATGTGGGTCTCTCGTGGGCTCCAGCACCTGCTTGTGCTCGGAACACCCACTGGGCGGGACCGGGGGAAGCAACCCGGGGCAGGGAGCGCGTGCATCCAGCCACCTGGCTGCTGCCCTGCCTTTGGCGTGACTCTCATCCACCTGACACTGTGCCAGGGGCTCTCGCCGCGTCTCACGTGAGGTGCCGCAGCTCATGTCAGCTCCCCCAGGTGCTTCAAGCACTTCCAACCTGCTGGTGCTCATTCCCTCGACCCCAGCGGCAGCTTCTCTGGCGCCAGCCCCGACACACAGGGGCCCAGATGGGGCCAGGCCAAGAGGACCCTGCCTGCTTCAGGTCACTCAGCCGGCAGGGGCCTGAGCCTCAGCTGTGTGGGGCTCTTCCTGCGCTAGGGGGCTCCAAAGCTCAACCGGTGCTTTTCTTCTCCGGCCACATCCCTTCAGAGTTCAGAGTGACACGCTCAAGTCCACATGGGCCTCGGGCAGGGGCAGTGACCATTGCCTCTGATCAGGAGCCGCGTGGGCTTCTGGGGACTGGCGACCCCGGGGGCGGGCAGCAGCAGGGATGGCCCGATGTACAGACAGAGCCCTCCAGCCGTGGTTCAAAGGGGCTGACTCTCTGGCTGGGAAGTTTCCCTGCCTCCCGCAGCCGGGCGGTTCCCAGTAGCAACGTTTCCCTGGCACCCTTTCCAGGACTAAACGAAACGTTGCCCGAGAAGATCCAGAAGATCCTGACGTGTTCAGAACTCGACCTGGGTGGTCTGCTCGGCGGCGTCATCGCCTCGGTGACCGGCACTGACCTTGGCTCTCTGCTGGGTGGTGCTGGCGGCGGCCTGACCGGCTCTCTGCTGGGTGGTGGCGGCAGCGGCGGCCTGACCGGCTCTCTCCTGGGTGGCGGCAAAGGCGGTGGCCTGACCGGCTCTCTCCTGGGTGGCGGCAAAGGCGGTGGCCTGACCAGCTCTCTCCTGGGCGGTGGTGGCAGCGGCGGCCTGACCGCCTCTCTCCTGGGTGGCGGCAAAGGCGGTGGCCTGACCGGCTCTCTCCTGGGCGGTGGTGGCAGCGGCGGCCTGACCGCCTCTCTCCTGGGTGGCGGCAAAGGTGGCCCGACCAGCTCTCTCCTGGGCGGTGGCGGCAGCGGCGGCCTGACCGCCAATCTCCTGAGTGGCGGCGCCGCTGGCGGCCTGGCCGGCTCTGCGCTGAGCGGCGGCCTGAAGATCCCTGATGTCGCTTCGGCAGTTGCAGGCAACGTGGCACCCATCTCAGTAGACAGGGCGATCGGAGGTGGACTCCAAGATATCCCTGCTGCAAACGGTCTTCTCCAGAGCCTTACTGCAAATACACCCCTTGACGTCCCTGCTGCCATCCTGTCCCGCGATGTCCCCGTGGCCAGAGAACTCCTCGATGCCACCGCCCGTGCTCAGAGCAACATCGCCTCCCTGCCCGCAGTCCAGGCCGGTGCTAAGGCCATCGACAGCATCAAAGACTCCGCCCTGGGCACCGCCAAGAATGCCGCTGGCGCTGTGGCTGGTGTCTCCGGCTTAACCTCCGGCTTAACCTCGGGCTTAACCGACTCACTCGACTTGAAAGCGTTGCTCTTGGCGTAAGCGCCCCTTCACCCTGACATCTGGCACAGGAAGGAGGCTGCTGCCGGGCCACGCTCAAGCTCAGTCCCCAACAGTCCCGGGGAGAGAGACGGCCCCGTGTTCCCCGAGCAAATTTCTCGCTCTGGGCTGAACTGAGGGTGGACGGCCCGGCCAGGGTTTCTGGAGCCTTAAGAACTGGCTGTGGAAGGGGCCTGGGTGGCCCCAGGGGCGGGTGTCTTGGTAGAAAGCTGACAGGCTGCTTCCCCTCTGTTTCTGCGGCTGCCCGGGCTGGTGCCATGAGGCGGGACTCACCTTGATGCTCTCACTTTGCAGATTAAAGGCTGGAAGTGTTCGTGTGGACAACTTGAACATCAGCACGACAGACGGTGAGATCCAGGCCCTGGCCTCATTTGACATGGACGTCACCGCAGACGGGTGAGCCTGTTTTCCCGCCGCTGCACTGGGAGGGCCTAAACCGGGCACTTTGGACACAGTGGACCAAGGTCAGGAAGGGGCAACGCAGAGGGAGACTGTACCCTGGAGGATGGGGCCGAGGGGCCCCTCGCCTCCATCCCACCGGGCCAATCAGGAGACAGACCATGGAGCCACATGCTCAGGTAGCAGAAGCACAGCCAGGAGCCCAGAGGTCCGTGCGAACTCTCTCCGGTTGTGTGGGCAGGGCCCTGAGGAGAGGAGCCGCGAGGCTGCCTCTCGCGCTGACATCCACGTCGACGTCACGGGAGACGGACCTTCCCTCCAGATGATCCCGACGAGATTCCACCCGCTCTGGACAAACACTGTCCCGGGCAGCTGGGGGAGACGGAGCTACATACGGGCCTCAGGAAGCTGCAGTTTCGACATGTACCCCCCACCCACACAGCTGCTTGGCTCCCCGTTAGTGCATAAACCCCACTCTAGCCCGATGCTGTGCCTGTGGCACAGAGGAGGACCCCAGGCGGTCCTCGACCTCGGGAGCACGATCATTCGGGGAGGAGCAGTGGAGCAGTGTCAGCCTGGGGCGCGTGGGCAGCGCGAGAGGAGGGGCAGGGATGACCTCTCCCACTGACGGCAACACATGGTGTGTCACTGAGCGCTCCAGGCAAACACACCCTGAACTGAGGCGCGGTGAGCTCCGTCAGGAGAATGGTCCCGTCTCTGGGCAGGAGCACATATCACGCTGGCAAAGCCACTTCCACGGCCTGCTCCAGGGCACACGACCACACAAGGGCAGCGGCAGGCCGGGCACCCAGCACATGGCCACGGAGCCCGGGTCTGGGCCCCGCCAGCGTTCTCCGGTGCAGTCCGCCACGCCACGTCCCTTCTCGCAGACATCGATTTCTGGTTAACAGGCTGTGGTGAACACGCGCTGGGTCCGCTTGTTTGAACCCCTGTTTACGGTTCTTTGAGGGTAGGTCCTAAGGAGTGGGGCTGCTGGACCATCTGTACATTCTACCTTTAACTTTGTGAGGAGCACCCACCCAGGCTGTTCTCCACGGACCTTGAATGGGTTTTTCGTTCCCGCCAGCAATGCGGAGAGGGCCCGCTTCCCCGCAGGCCGCCCGACGGTCGCAAGGGTTATTTGCGGGGAGCACACGTGTTTGGTAGAGAGCGCTCAGGCGGGGGTGGGGTCTGGATGGTTGGTGGTAAGGGCAGAGGCAGGGGTACCAGTTGCCCTGGTGCGCCACAAGGCTGACCTGGTCTAGGAGGGTGACAGGGAGGAGCAGAGGGCAGGGGAGCGGGGTTCCTGAGCCGGAGTCAACAGGGCTCGGGCTGCTGGTGAGAGAGGGAGGCCGGGAAAGCGGGTGGGCTGCACCGCCACTTCCCGAGGTGGGGCTGACTGTGGGAGGCAGTGGCCTGGGGAGACAAGAAGCCCTAAGGTCTGGTGACGGTGTGGCTTGGGTGACGGTGTGGCTTGGGTGTAGGTTTTCAGGGTGCTTTCCCTTGCTTTCCCTGCGAGCAGGCCCGGAATCTGACCCTGCCTCCCCTCTGCGGTCCTGGTGTCCACATCTGAGCTGTCTGGGTTCCGGAGCAGTCGTGTTCTGCAGCCACTAGGCATAGGCCGGAGGGTCTCTCTGCCTGGCGTAGAGGCCCCAGTCGTGCTTCTCAGCACCCCCTCGTGTCTACTTTGCCGGGGTGTGTGGGTCTGGTCACTGCCTTCACTGGGCTTCTGACTTCTGACTAGACTTTCTCTCACAGCCACTGGGGTGGCCTGTGGTCACTGAGCTGGGCCCTGGACCCTTCGCCTCTCTGTTCACGGTAGTGCCGGGCACCCCCCCTGCTCTGTGGGTTCTCAGCATTGGGACGGTGCCCTCGATGGTGAACATGCAACCGGGGAGGTTGGACCCTAGTGTGAGTGAGATTTTCTAGTGTGATCTTCATGTTGGCCAGGGGTGGCCACATGCAAAAGACAGCATGTGGAGTGGAGAGGGGAGGGCAGAGCTAGGGGAAGAAAAGCATCATTGTCACCACTGCCCCCTGGAGCACTGGGTCAGCCAAGCCTGGCTCTGGTGGCCGCATGATTCCTATGACTGAGCTGGCTGAGCCTGGGAAGTAGAGCTTCTATTACCACGCACGTGTGGCGAGATGCCCGCATGTGGGAACTGAAGACAAGTGAGGCGTGTTTTGCGTGAAAACAGGTTAATTATTAAAGAGGTGATCACAAAGAGCCAACAATCCCTGGGGTTCTGCTTTGTCACAACGGCTGACACAAGATGACGCTGGTGAAATCCAAGGACGAGTTGACATGTTCAGAACACTATTCTTGTCGTGTCCTTAATCAAAAGGATGGCTGATTAATTCTGGGAGAAGTCTTAGAGTGCTTTCATTCTGGAAGTTTCTCTGGCATCGGCTGTGCTGAGTTTACTTTGCTGCCACAAGAAAGTTCTGCGAGGAGACAAAAGACCACCCATCATTCTCTTGAGCACACTGTCTGGGGGGAGGTGTAGGCCCAGCAGGCCACTGCCCTCCCGGCGCCTTGAAGGCAGCACTTGTGCCTGGGGAGGGGATGGGGAGCAAGTCGGGCCAAGGGGAGCCCCAGAGGTCGTTGCTGGGGGGTTGTCATTTGAGGTCTTTTGGAATGAGAGGGAAGGGGAAGCCCCGGGTAGTGGGGACCCCTGTACAGAGCCCACGCGGAGCCTGTCCAGAGGCAGGGGACCCAGAGGCTGGGGCCGGGGTCATCGCGGGGGTCCTGACTCAAGCCTCTGCTGGATGTTGGGTCCCAGTCACGTCGTGGGTATTTAAGCTTAAGGCGTTTGGTTTGAGCTTTCCATCCCCGGTAGCCGAACACGGCTGGCACTCCCGTGACCCGCTCCTGACTGGAGGCCGGCCGTGGGGCTTGGCGCCGGGCAGAAGAGGCAAAAAACCAACCGGGAGGTGCAATGGCTTTGCCACCCTCTATCCTTTCGTGATTGCTTTGGCCACAGACACGGCGACTGTTGGTGGTTGAGTGAGGGCAGGAACGTGGGGGCTGTGAGCCGGGGCCACGGAGAAAGGAGCTGCTGTTCCCCCATGTGGCTGTGGACTCGCGGAGCCTGCTTCTCAAGGATTTTCCATCTCGTCCCTCAGCCCTAGCTCCACCCTCGTGCGTTCCTGTTTTCCTGGTGACTAATTGAGATGAACGTCCCCTGCTCTTAACTACTTTGGGAAGCAAGTTCTTTCACATGTCCTCTGGGCTTAGGGACAGAGAGGTAGGAAGAGGGGGGTTTGAGCGCATGGGGCAGAGCGTGAGAGGCCTCGGCGGACAGGAGGTGACGGTGTGGCTGAGTCAGCCCCGTGCGTCTCCGAGGGAGCGAGGGAGGCACCTTCAGACTTGCGTGGGGGCGGTGCCCGGGGGGTGGGTTGCTCATGGCGCAGAGGGTCTGGGTTAGGCCTTGCCCGGTGACCAGTGGGGCAGCAGGCCAGGGATCTGCCCGGGAGAGGGCTGGGCCGGTAGACGTGACCCGCCAGGCAGCCCGGGACAGACTGTGGGGCCAGGACCCCGCTGGTCTCATGGGTCCCTCTGAAGGGTCACGGGCCGAGTGGGCTCTAGCGCAGACCAAACACATTTGTCTTTCTCTCTTACCCCAGCTATCGCTTTAAACGGTGCGCTGTTGATGGGAACTGAGCTTATTCCTGATGGAGCGTTCCAGTTGCCCATGTTTCCTGAAATACAGAAAGATCATCTTCTGGCGGGAGTCGGAAGAAACGAAGACCGGCCGGGAGGTTTCCAACGCGGTCATCTGGCGCGATCTCTGGGCGGCGTGGGCCGGAGGAGAGCTCTCTCCCCTGCGACTCGACGGACAGGGTGAAGGCCTGACTCTCCCCGGGGCTCAGGTGTGTGCCAGGGTGAGGCCGCCGGGATCGGAGCAAACCCCGGAAGCCTGGTGGGCGTTCTACACCCGGGGAACCCACGCGAGCGGTGCCCGTCATGAGAACACTGGCAGGACTGCCTCCGCCAAGACCACCGGGAGAAGCAGCCCCCGTGCTCTGGCGTCACTCACTATTTCAACCCCCCTCAGGGTTCGCCGCGGACATGCACTGATGGCGTTTGCACACCGTGTCCTGGTGGATGTAAAGGTCGCGAGCTCAGACGCTAGAGCTCCTCGGACTAGCATCTGTGTGCCCGGGATACCCGGGTCCACGTCTCCTCCAAGTGGTGAGTGTGGCCACGGGGGCGCGAAGACCCCGGCGGGCCTGGTGCTGTCAGGACCCGTGGAAGGGCCGTTTCACCCTGGTTTCCGTGTTCTGTCATCTCCAGACTCCACAGTCCCAATCCACGTGTGGGAGACGAGAGATACCGCTCAGGGAGCGCCAGGGCGGGGTCAGCAGCATCACCACCCCTTGCCCCTTCCCTGCTATGGCCACAGCTCCGCTCCTGGGTGTTCCCAGGCTGAAGTGCACTTACTAATCAGATTAGCGGAGAACTTCTTGGCCATGGCGGGCATCACCGCTGGCACATCCTCTGCCGCTCCGCTCTGGAAGAGAGGGGAGGAACGAGTCACCCTGACGTCCAGCAAACCCCTGCTAGTCATCTAGTCAGGGAAAGCCACCTCGGGTGGGTATAGTTTTAGTGGGAAAGTGTGCTACCAGGGGACCGAGGCCCTCTGATAGGTTATTGAGCCCTTGCGCGGCTCCTTGAGCAAATGTCTCCTGGGCTCCGGCCGTGTTGTGGACGCTACACCAGGCACAGAGGTGCGGCCGTGGAACTTGGCCGGCAAGGCGCCGACCTCGGCACCGGGGTGGCCAGGCTGCCGGAAAAGCTGCCCCCTTGGCATCTTCTCCGGGGTCCTCTCGAATCGGCGCTTCTAGCAGTCCCCTCCTTCCCTCTGCATATCCCCCTGGAGAGGCTGAGGGTCCTTTGTGCCTGCTTTGGCACGCCCTGTTCCCTCTACCCGGTACCTGTTTTCCGTCTGTACTTAGCTCTTCTTCCTCCTTCAGGGTCACGGGAGGGTGTCCTTTTCTCAGTGAGCCCCCATCTGCCTTCCCGCTGGCGTGCTCTCTACCCTGGCCTCTTTATGCCCAAGGGACAACTAATTGCTTAAAGGCCCATGTCCCCTGGCAGGCGGGCAGTCGTGCGAGGTCGGGGACCTCGCCTTCCATGTCCCCCTGCCCTGCCCTGGAGCCTGGCACGTCAGGCAGCTGCTATGCGGGAAATGAAGGGGAGAGGAAGGCTCAGCTGTCAGAGTCGGCCCCTCGGTCGCCCCCACCATCACAAGGGCACAGAGAGTCTGCACCAGTCACGGGGCGGATCCCGCCGCCCCCCCTCCCATGCCCTCAGCACGCCTCCGCCTGATGTGTGATCCCAGACTCTGTGTGACTTGCATTCTTTTCTCTAGGGTCTTCATGTATCTCTGGCCTCCCTCTGCTTGGGAGTCACTATGGAGCCAGGGCTCTCCCTGCTGCCTCCTGTGGTGTGGCTAGGATGGGCACGCAGCGGCACACCCCAAACCTTTGTTGAGAGGAGGTAAGGATGCATGTGGAAGGGCCGGTGGTTCCCTCCCTCGAGTTTCTGTCTCCGTGCCTGGCACCGGGTTGCCGGGCCCTACTCCCGCTTCCCCCCACCCTCCAGCCTTCAGGTCATTTCTCGCAGATCACAGGTGGGTACTCTGAACGTCGAGTCAACTTACAGGGCCAGCCAGGCTGTGGTCAGAGCTGTGGGGAGACAAAGCACGTGGCAAGTTATTGTCAAATGAAAAACACGGCCCTCTGCCAAAATAGAGATTACGGGTTCCCTCTACGTGAGGCTCTCTTCTTAAGACGGTCACCCCCCAAGGAGGAAGTTGTGAGAAGAAGAAGGGGATCTGCACTTAAACTCCATGACTGCCTTCCCTCTCCCTAGCCAAGTGTCTCCCCAACACCCTTGGCATGCCCCCTCTCGTGGGTTTTTTAATGACTCTGGAACATTCAACCGTCAGGAGGATTATGGAGCTATAGAATACCTTACAGGCTGGGCGCGTGCCACCACTTTGTCATTTTCAAGGGTGAAGGCGATTTTGAGTACAACTTTCTAAAGGCATAATGGAAAGAAGAATGTTAAAAGGATTCCTTCCCCTGGGTGCTCAGTACACAGGTGACAGGGTGATGTGGCCAAGCAGCTGGGCCTGCGCGCCCACCAGCCCGTGGACTGCCCCCTTCCCTCGGGGCTGAGCCCTCCAGTCTGGGACCACCACCCTCCACCCCGGGGGTTTGGGCAGCAGCCCCTCCCAGAGGACACGGCCTCCTGTGCCTTCCTCCCCAGCCCACCGGGCCGGGACCCTCCCCAAGCTCAGAATTGCTTTGTCAGAGTCGGCCCCTGGGTCGCCCCCACCATCACAGGGGCACAATCCGTCTGTGCTCGTCAAGGGTACTCACCGTGGTCCCCTTGCCAATGACCGCGCCGGCCTCCTTCACCGTGGACAGGAGGGTGAAGGTGATTCTATTGCCTGACTGGATGTAGGTCACTTTGGAGACGCTGGCCTCCATGCCCCCCATCTGTCATAAGAAGGAAGCGTCATTCAGAGGGGGGAGGGGAAGAAGGGCAGCGGGTCGCTGTGTGAGGAGAGGAGACAGCCCGTGGCCTTCCACTCAGACAGATCGATGCCCTCGGGGTGAGTCGCTCATGAGTCACCAGCCAGGGGCTGGCCCAGCTCAGAGGACCCACCACCCCCAGGAGCTGGGCTGACGGGGCCTGCCTCCCGCTGGGTCCCTTTCTCTCCTGTCCTTTCTCAGAGGGCAGAGCACAAGCGACTTTTGCTCTTCAGTGCTCCTCCTCCAGTCCAAAGCCCCTCCCTCTCTAGCGTCTCCGGGCCGGCCTCTGTGCCCTGAGCATCTCGGGAGTCCCTGCTAGAAACGTGTGATGCCGACCCCTGGCCCGGCTGGCCCGAAGCAGTGGTCTCAGCGACCTTTACTGTAGGTCATTGGCTTGGCGTGCCGCTGCTTAGATGCTGTCCTCCTAGTGCCTACCTTGCTTGGGGCCACAACGAATGAGCAACCCCCCTCCCGCTGATCACCCGTGATGACCTGTACCTCCCTGTACAGCTGCGGGGACCAGAGAGAGGCCCCTGGAGAGTTCTGTCCTGATGCCGGGCCCACCCCGCAGCGGGAGAGAGACGGCTGTCCCCTGTGCCCCTGCTCTCTGCTCTTCCCCACCCCAACCCTGTGCGCCAGGGAGGACCTGACACGGGGGGGGGGGGGGGGGGCGGGGCCGGGCGAGGGGGGGTTCATGAGCCCAGTCCGCGCGGGGCTCTCTCGGCATTTTCCTGATGCCGCCGCGTGGGCAGAGAGCGGCCCCAGGACCCCGCCAACCCACACGGTTCACCTTCGTGGAGCTGGCTTGGGCACTCTGGGCGACGATGGCCTTGAGCAATGCGGGGGACAGAGTGACGGAGACGTTGGCATTCTTAGGATGTGCAGGGAGGGCGCCGCCAGTCACCGGGAAAGAGCCTTTGTTAAACTTGGCCGTGGCCTGGAGAAGGAAAGCAGAGGCGTCCCGTCATCCCGTGAGAGGGACATCGACTTCCACACCTTTCGGACACCCGGCTGGCGTGCTGAGGAGGGAGGGGGACAAAGAGCCGTCCACCTCCCCAGCCTCTGTGTGTGGGTTCTGTGGGAAGGAGTGGGGTTCGTGGAGACTGGAGAGCAGGAACCCCTCCGAAGGACGGAAGTGCTGCCCCGCTCCTGCTATCAGCCCTGAGGGGGTGGTGGGGTGCGGTGGAGGATCGTGGGGGGATGACGAGGGGGATCCTGAGGCCTGAGACTTTCTCCCAGAAGCTAGGAACCCTCAATTAAGTGAAGTCCTTAACTGAAGTCCCCTCACTGAAGGGTTGCTTCAAGTACCACATACGTGTCTGCAGGTTTGCACATAACTCAGCCCCTGCCTCCCCTTTGGTGTTATCCCAAGCCAGAACAACCTCCTGCTCAAGCTCAAGGCCCCGCTGGTCTTTCCATAATGGTCCGAAGCTCTTCTAGCCCCCACGGAACAACTCCTCTTCCTTTCATCTGCACTTTCCCCTCTGTCTAGAAGATGCCCCATCCCTGTGGCAGGAGGCTTGAAAAGTTCCGCGGACAACGAAGAAGGGCACGAGGTCCCGCACGCCGCCCCCGGGGTTTCTGCCTGATTTTGCCCTTGCGTATGCATGTCCTGTCCATTTTGTTTGCTTTCTGAAAAATGCAGTACAATCTTCACACGGATTTCCATTTACCCTTAACAACTCGGCCAGCGTCCATCTTATAACCTCATACTGGGCACGGTTACTCGCTCCTCGTTCTTTTCTAGTTATCTGCTTCCCTTCCTCGAGGCTCATACCGATAGCTCTTGGACCTTAAATATAGGTCCTCTGAGGACGCGTGTGCAGATGGGGGCCCGGGCGTGGTGTTAAGCAGATCCCAAACCTTGCCTTTCTCCATCCTCCCTGTGTGGCTCGGGAGGCATTCCCGGGTGGTTGAAGGTGGCCAGTGGAATGGATGGCGGGGAGAGGGGGCGGAACGAGGGGGCCCTTTTTATTCCCTTGTGTATTTCCCCCTGAGTATCTAGACCCACGCTGGGCACAGCCTACCAGTCAAGAGCCGGCTGTCCTTGTGCGGATGCCGCTCGGCATCGTAAGTGGACCTAAGTGGATGGGAATCCGGGGCAGACCCCGTGCCTGGCACTCGGGGTTGTGTGTAAAGAGGGTGCGTGTAAAGAGCTGGGGCTCTGAGAGGGCCGTGGGCTCCCGGGCCGTGTCACTGGAGTGTCTTTTGCGAGTTCAGGGAAGCTCCGGCCTGCCTCCAGAATCCTCCGTGAGCCCGAGCTACTCACGCAGTAGGTTATCGTGATACCCGCTGGAGACAGGGCGGCTTTGTTGAGGCGGTACTGGAACAGGCCGGTAGCTGCAAGGGGAGAAGAAGGAGAGAGCTGTCTGGTCCCGTGCCCTTCCTTCCCGGGGCCCTGTGGGGTGTCACGCCTGGGCTCTCTGCCCAGTCCTCCCCTCCAGGGAGGAAGCAGAGTGAACCCCGCCTTCTCCCTCTCTGTCTGTTCCAGGCAGGGGCCTGGTGCCTCCCTGGATCCTTCTCATGCTTCTGCACCGGGGTGGGGCCTGGGGTAGAGGGGCTGTGCGGGGAGGAAGGGTTCTCGAGGACTCGGCCCTGCCCACAATGTGCCAAAACCCGCAGTGGCAGGACAGGCTTGCCGCCTGGGCCTCGGTCCTGCCTATTCCAGGACCTGGGCAAAGTCACCAATTCCGGCCCTGGTAGCCGCCTTCGGGCCGGCCACTCACGCCTGTCTCCAGGATGTGTTTGGAGACCCAGGTGGCGTTTCTGCTCCCCAGCCTCCCCGGCGTGAAGGCCTGGGGCTTCTTCTTGCTGGAACTCCACACGCCAGCCCCTCTGGGAATGGGCAGCTACTGCGACACTCCCGCGGGGCCGACCACCCGCTGTGCCCCAAGAAGGGTCACGGCGCATCTGAGGTGCAGGGATGTCACCACCGCTTGTGCTCTGAGGAGCCGAGGACAGTTTGTTTGGGTGTTTGGGTTTCAGGGCGTAAGCCTCACAGCCCCATCCTCTCCTGTGTGTCCCCGGGCGGGAGCCAGGGCCACCCTCGCCCTTGACCTGTCAGCCCCAGGGAGGTCAGCTGTTCGCACTCACAGTTCTTGCACACGTTGAAGTCACTGAAGTCACAGCGGCACGATTCTGAGTCCTGAAGCTGCAAATTCACCACTCGGTCAGCTTTGCTGAGAGGCGGCAGCAGCAAGTGCCCCCTCACCCCACCACCTCAGCCCCTCCTCTCCTGCCCTCCTTCCTCTCCCCACAGACTCATCCTCTCCCCTCCGAGCTGGCGGCCTCGCCATACGGACACTGCCGCCGGGGTCTCCGGGGTCTCTGTCCGCCCCCAGACCTGGTGCCTGCCTCCGCCGGCGTCAGCCGTGCTGAGCAGGCCTCCTTGCAGTCTCCCTCCCAACGACGGGGACCTTTGAGGTGTGCCCGCCCCGTTCCCGAGACCTACCTTCTCGTTGACGGATACTGTCAGCGCGGTGGAAACCACACTGTCCAGAGGCAAGTCCACAGGCAGAAGTCCCGTGACCCTGAGGAAGACAGGTGCGGAGGGCCCCGTGATCCTGGCGTTTCTAGATCTGGCCACTCTTTGGGGAAAACCCCGCCGCGGGGCACCCAGCTGCCAGTGTTCGATTTTTGATGTGAGATCGGTGTCTGTGTGCGTGTGAGAGGTCGCAGGTGCGTGTGCATGCACACGAGGTCACAGGTGTGTGTGCACGCACACGTGGAAACTGCCGCATATGCAAACGGTCTCTGGGAAAGCCAGCGGAAGGCTGGGCCCTCTGGTGGCTTCCAGGGAGGGTCATTAGCCAGCTGGCGGACGAGTGTGGGAGGGAGACTTGCCTCCCGGAGGCTTTTTGGTACCTCTGGGATTGTGACCCAGGAGAATGGGTTGTTTTGCGACCAAAGAGAAGGGAAGAGAAAAAGTTCGCCGAGCTGGCAGAAAGCAGCAGAGCCAGGCAAGGCTGTCCTCCGACCCACCAGGCCGATCCCAAGAGAAGCACCCTCCCCGGGCCCCGCACACCCCCGTTTCTAGGCCGTTCAAGCCATCGGGTCAGGTGGGCCTAGCTCACGTCTAAGGCCGGTACCAGCGGGAACTTTGTGGCCCACTTTGTGGAAAGGGAATTAACGGTCTCACGTACGTGCCCAAGAGACCGATGGTCACTTCGTCGACATTCATGCTGGTGTCAGAGACTTGGAGGGTCAGGCACTGGGTGTTGTTGGTGGAGACGGTGAGTTTCAGGGTCACTTTCCCGCGCACTTTAAAGGACAGCAGGCTGATGACGGTGCCCACGACGCTGTGGAGGGCAAGAGGCGGGTGAGACTGGAAGGAAGGGGACAAACACCCTGCCCTGCATGGCACCCAGCTGGCCGTGCACCTTCTCAGGGAGAGCGTAAGAAGCACCCACATTGACCAGTGCCTGTTCTTAAGAAAGTCAGATGTTCTGCAGTAGACAAGCGGCTCCTTCTGCCCGGAGAGCTGTGCGGGGCCCAGACCCGGCCTCTGTGGGAATAGTGCTGGGTGCCCGGCCTGCCGCTGCCCTTGTGTGGTCGTGTGCCCTGGAGCAGGCCGTGGAAGTGGCTTTGCCAGCGTGATATGTGCTCCTGCCCAGAGACGGGACCATTCTCCTGACGGAGCTCACCGCGCCTCAGTTCAGGGTGTGTTTGCCTGGAGCGCTCAGTGACACACCATGTGTTGCCGTCAGTGGGAGAGGTCATCCCTGCCCCTCCTCTCGCGCTGCCCACGCGCCCCAGGCTGACACTGCTCCACTGCTCCTCCCCGAATGATCGTGCTCCCGAGGTCGAGGACCGCCTGGGGTCCTCCTCTGTGCCACAGGCACAGCATCGGGCTAGAGTGGGGTTTATGCACTAACGGGGAGCCAAGCAGCTGTGTGGGTGGGGGGGTACATGTCGAAACTGCAGCTTCCTGAGGCCCGTATGTAGCTCCGTCTCCCCCAGCTGCCCGGGACAGTGTTTGTCCAGAGCGGGTGGAATCTCGTCGGGATCATCTGGAGGGAAGGTCCGTCTCCCGTGACGTCGACGTGGATGTCAGCGCGAGAGGCAGCCTCGCGGCTCCTCTCCTCAGGGCCCTGCCCACACAACCGGAGAGAGTTCGCACGGACCTCTGGGCTCCTGGCTGTGCTTCTGCTACCTGAGCATGTGGCTCCATGGTCTGTCTCCTGATTGGCCCGGTGGGATGGAGGCGAGGGGCCCCTCGGCCCCATCCTCCAGGGTACAGTCTCCCTCTGCGTTGCCCCTTCCTGACCTTGGTCCACTGTGTCCAAAGTGCCCGGTTTAGGCCCTCCCAGTGCAGCGGCGGGAAAACAGGCTCACCCGTCTGCGGTGACGTCCATGTCAAATGAGGCCAGGGCCTGGATCTCACCGTCTGTCATGCTGATGTTCAAGTTGTCCACACGAACACTTCCAGCCTTTAATCTGCAAAGTGAGAGCATCAAGGTGAGTCCCGCCTCATGGCACCAGCCCGGGCAGCCGCAGAAACAGAGGGGAAGCAGCCTGTCAGCTTTCTACCAAGACACCCGCCCCTGGGGCCACCCAGGCCCCTTCCACAGCCAGTTCTTAAGGCTCCAGAAACCCTGGCCGGGCCGTCCACCCTCAGTTCAGCCCAGAGCGAGAAATTTGCTCGGGGAACACGGGGCCGTCTCTCTCCCCGGGACTGTTGGGGACTGAGCTTGAGCGTGGCCCGGCAGCAGCCTCCTTCCTGTGCCAGATGTCAGGGTGAAGGGGCGCTTACGCCAAGAGCAACGCTTTCAAGTCGAGTGAGTCGGTTAAGCCCGAGGTTAAGCCGGAGGTTAAGCCGGAGACACCAGCCACAGCGCCAGCGGCATTCTTGGCGGTGCCCAGGGCGGAGTCTTTGATGCTGTCGATGGCCTTAGCACCGGCCTGGACTGCGGGCAGGGAGGCGATGTTGCTCTGAGCACGGGCGGTGGCATCGAGGAGTTCTCTGGCCACGGGGACATCGCGGGACAGGATGGCAGCAGGGACGTCAAGGGGTGTATTTGCAGTAAGGCTCTGGAGAAGACCGTTTGCAGCAGGGATATCTTGGAGTCCACCTCCGATCGCCCTGTCTACTGAGATGGGTGCCACGTTGCCTGCAACTGCCGAAGCGACATCAGGGATCTTCAGGCCGCCGCTCAGCGCAGAGCCGGCCAGGCCGCCAGCGGCGCCGCCACTCAGGAGATTGGCGGTCAGGCCGCCGCTGCCGCCACCGCCCAGGAGAGAGCTGGTCGGGCCACCTTTGCCGCCACCCAGGAGAGAGGCGGTCAGGCCGCCGCTGCCACCACCGCCCAGGAGAGAGCCGGTCAGGCCACCGCCTTTGCCGCCACCCAGGAGAGAGGCGGTCAGGCCGCCGCTGCCACCACCGCCCAGGAGAGAGCTGGTCAGGCCACCGCCTTTGCCGCCACCCAGGAGAGAGCCGGTCAGGCCACCGCCTTTGCCGCCACCCAGGAGAGAGCCGGTCAGGCCGCCGCTGCCGCCACCACCCAGCAGAGAGCCGGTCAGGCCGCCGCCAGCACCACCCAGCAGAGAGCCAAGGTCAGTGCCGGTCACCGAGGCGATGACGCCGCCGAGCAGACCACCCAGGTCGAGTTCTGAACACGTCAGGATCTTCTGGATCTTCTCGGGCAACGTTTCGTTTAGTCCTGGAAAGGGTGCCAGGGAAACGTTGCTACTGGGAACCGCCCGGCTGCGGGAGGCAGGGAAACTTCCCAGCCAGAGAGTCAGCCCCTTTGAACCACGGCTGGAGGGCTCTGTCTGTACATCGGGCCATCCCTGCTGCTGCCCGCCCCCGGGGTCGCCAGTCCCCAGAAGCCCACGCGGCTCCTGATCAGAGGCAATGGTCACTGCCCCTGCCCGAGGCCCATGTGGACTTGAGCGTGTCACTCTGAACTCTGAAGGGATGTGGCCGGAGAAGAAAAGCACCGGTTGAGCTTTGGAGCCCCCTAGCGCAGGAAGAGCCCCACACAGCTGAGGCTCAGGCCCCTGCCGGCTGAGTGACCTGAAGCAGGCAGGGTCCTCTTGGCCTGGCCCCATCTGGGCCCCTGTGTGTCGGGGCTGGCGCCAGAGAAGCTGCCGCTGGGGTCGAGGGAATGAGCACCAGCAGGTTGGAAGTGCTTGAAGCACCTGGGGGAGCTGACATGAGCTGCGGCACCTCACGTGAGACGCGGCGAGAGCCCCTGGCACAGTGTCAGGTGGATGAGAGTCACGCCAAAGGCAGGGCAGCAGCCAGGTGGCTGGATGCACGCGCTCCCTGCCCCGGGTTGCTTCCCCCGGTCCCGCCCAGTGGGTGTTCCGAGCACAAGCAGGTGCTGGAGCCCACGAGAGACCCACATTCCCAGGCCCACTCCAGCACCCCAGTACCTGAAAGGCCAGCAACGGGGCCCGCGCACTGGGGCTCTCTTCCCAAGCCCCAAGGGGACTGCCCTGCCTGGTCTTGCGAGAGGCCCTAGGCCCGAGGCAAAAGCAGCCCGTGGGCCCACATGCAGGCGGAAGGGCAGAGCTGGGCAGCTGAGACCCTGCTGACTCACCTGCCACGAGGTTGGTGTCAGCGATGTAGATGCTGGCCACCGACGAACACTTGCCCTTTGAGGCCTTCGCGCCCTGTTTTGTGTTCATCTGGTTCGTCTGGTCTGTGGGAGCTGGCCGACTTAGGGGGACACTTGGGGCTGGCAGGGAGGGTAGGCTGCTCAGTTTGATATCCAAGGGAAGAGGGGTATTTCCGGCAATGCCGGGGCCACAGGCAGCACCTGGGCCCCTGCCAGGACGGCCATGGTGACGACCGTGGTCCAGAGGATCAGCATCTTGGCGGCTGATATCTGCAAAGGAGGACTTCGTGGGACCCCAAGTTCCCCACGGGGGTGTCATACGAGGGTGCGAGCTCTTGGGTGCTGTGGGGGCGGGGAGGTTTGCTGATGCAAGTGGCTGCGGCACCAACGCCTTAAGAAGAGCTGCTGTGGCAGCCGCGTAGCAGAGGACACCGTGGGCAGCCCGGGACTACCCTTCACGCTGAGCACGTTAGGCTTCAGGGGAGAAGAATGTCAGCCCCGGTTCCACCTTTCCCATCCGGCCCCCTCTGTGAGAAATTGAAATCTCTTGGCTCTGGAGACACGCAAATGTCCCGCGAGGGAAAAAACCCTAAACCTCTGTGCCTGCGAGTGTGCGGGTAGACTTGGCCCCATGGGTAGACTTGGCTGGAGTCGGACGGAGGAAGAATCTGGTCAGGACCCCTTCCTGAAAGCCATCCCACGCCTGCGATCATGGACACCTGGGTGTGGGGGGACTTGCAGCAGGAAAGCGCCACTGTCAGCAGGGGCGACGGGCAGCGTCCCAGAGGCCATGGCTCCTTGGCCCTGTCCTAGGCTGGCTCCTGCCTCAGAGTCCCCAGCTTTTCTCTGGTGAATCTGCGGCAGCCCGGGCTTACCTGGTCCGAGAGCGATGGGTCGGGGTGGACGGCAGGCCTTCCGGTAGCTGCCTCTCCTCCTGCCCTTGCTCGGACTGTCAGGGGAACGTCGCAGCCCGTTTTTATAGGCCCGGGTCTGTCGGGAAAGTCGTCAGACGTGACAGACACAGCCAAGTGTGCTGATAAGGGCCGCGTCACAGCGGCTGACTTCCAAGATCAGCACCTGCTGACGGCTGTGACATTCGTGGCTCAGGGAGATGCACGTTCAGGGACGGCCCGTCTCCGCGCCTCCTTATTCTCCTCTCCATCAACTTTGGCAGCGGTTTACATGTCCCTATAACTTTGGGCTCTCGACTTCACTCCTCAACGTGTACGCGTGCTGCACTGGCCCTCAGCTCACCCCAGGCCGTGCCCTCTCCCGCCCTCCCCCACCCCGGGTCCCCGTGGCCCCCTTCGGTAACTAGTGCATTTTTCATGAAGTCTACCCCTTGTTTGGCTGTGCTCTGCCAGTGTGTGTCTTTCTGTTATTTATATCCCCGTAACTGCCTTTCAATTCCTGACTTCGACGTCTCATAATCCACTCAAGGGATTATGAGGCCTCTGGGGTCCTCCCGCATGTTGGGTAACGGCTGAGTGGTATTCCGCGGAGGGCACAACTGCAGTTCTGATCTGCCACCTCCTGTCTCCACGGCACTTGGTCTGGTTGCTCACTAGGCAATTGTGGAGGAGCTGCTGTGAACACAGGAGAGCGTTCTCGTGTTCGAGTTTCATATTCCTGGGGTAAATACCCAGCAGAGGTATTGCTGGGTCATATGGCGCTCCCCTTCTAAAGTTCTGAAGACGCTCTACCACTTCCAGCCCCACTTCCAGAGGGGCTGCACCAAACTGCACTCCCAGCGATGGTGGCTGAGGGCTCTTTCCACACATCCTCCAGATGTGGCTGCTGCCACTCTTTCCAGAGGGGCCAGTCTCATGGGTGAGGTAGTTGCCCCTTGTGGGTCTGATTTGTGTTTCCCTACAACAGGTGATCTACAACTTTCTTGTGCCTGTAGAACCTCCGACTGTCTTCTTTAGAAAATGTCATTTGGGTCTGTGCCCATGATTTGATCGGGACCCCCACTTGGGGCGGATTACTCTCTGGGCCCCAGGTTCCCCCTGTTTCAGAGAAGGCCACATCCATTAGGTTCCTGCCACTAGAACTTTTCTGACGTTTTCCCTGTTGTGATTGTGCCCTGTGTCATCTTCCCAGGTACCAGATGCAACAGAGTGGACGGGGAGGTGATTTCGGGGATGGGGATGGCTGTGGCTGCTTCTGTGCCCCCTCAGCAGCATGAGAGTTGGGCAGGTCCCTGCCTCCCAGCAGGCCCAGCGGGTTGGCTGCAGGCCCCCAGCCCCAAGGCAGTCCTCATGTGTGAACCTCAACTAAGGAACCCCCTTAGGCATTACTGAAAGGTCAGATCTTTCCTCAGAGGCCAGAACCGAGGGTGTCACACATGGCAATAAGTAGAAGACAAAACCCAACTGTCCTGGTCTTATTTTTCTTGGACATCTGATGCAGTGGGAGTCATCTTTTGAGCAAAATAGGTGACACCTGGGTGGGTGCAGTCTGGACTTGGGTGCCTCCGGTGATTCTCTGGTCACGAGCCATAGCCCTATGGCAGAGGGCAGGAAGGGACATGTCCTGATACGACCACTGATGGGCCTCTTGGCTCCCGCCTCTTTGTCTCTCTCCTCCAAGCTCAGGAGGGAGCCAGCCACTGAATTGCACTAATCCAGGATCCACGTGAAGCTTTCTCCCAGGTCTTCTATTCCACTGGGCACAAAGGCCTGCTTGTTCCCAAACCTTAAGTGATTTGACCTGCTGACTCTGGACGGTTAGGGCCCTTTGAAGACTCTTCAAGGCTGGATGTGGATTAGGCACATAGGAATCTGGGCCGGCGCCAGCCCTTAATGGCCTTGAAGATGTCTCAATAGAGGCGCTGAGCTTGGGTGTTCTGGTGACAACCTTCAGGAACTGACCTTCACAGTGTTCTTTAGTGACGCACACCCCAGGACTCCTTTGTGCTTCTGTGTGTGTTCTTGGTTCGGCGTCGACTCCAGGACCTCGACGATCACGTGTAGCCCTCAGTCCTTCCTTCCTCTCTCGGTGTCTCCACTCGCAACTGCCAGTCACAGGCCTCACCCGGGTCCCCTGCAGAGAAACGGTGTCCCTGACACTCTTACATGGCCTGTAAAATCTGCCTTAATTTCTGCTTCTCAGGGTCGTATCTGCCTTGAAATGTTCAGTGGAATGTGATTTATCCAAGGGGAAGAATCAGTTTCTCCAGGCCTCTGCAAGGCCTTCGGTGTGGGTCGCATCCGGTTGTGGATCCTGGTGCAGCACCCACTGGGGTGCGACTTGGGGTGTTACCTTTCTGCACCTTCGTTTCCGGAACAATTATACTTCTCACAGGGAGGCATTAGAATCACACGGGATGAATGATTCAGTTTGGCGTCACCTGCTTCCCAAGTGGTTATTCCTTCATTTTCCTTTTCCTCCCTTCTCTCTTCCCTTCCCTCACTTCCACTCCTCCGCTTTCTCTTTTTCCTTTTCTCCTCCCCATCCTCTTCCTCCTTTAATCAGTGTGGTATCAGGTATTTTCAGTGTTTCCTGGACCATTCCGTCAGATTTTATACCATGTGCCTAGACTTTCCTTATTTACACCTTGTTTGCAAGAAGAAAATATGGGTTTTTAGCTATGATTCCTTCCTGAAAAAAAAAAAAAACGACAGTTTACAGTATTCTCATCGTGTGAAGGCACGTGTAAGACACACTTTAGCATCACTTTGAAGTTTTTGTTCTCAGTGGGAGCACAGACCTTCCTTGACTCATTCCACGACAAACATGCACATACCTGGACACTCACGTGTCAGCGTCACAAAAAGGCTCAGTGTTTGCTTCAAGACACGTTGCAGATCTCTGTCTTTTCCACCCAATTGCCCCACAGAGGTCTCTCTCTAGTGGGCCTGTGGTCTCCCTGGGGAAGGAAAGTCGAGTGTGTCTGTGCCAAAAGGAGTTTTCATTCCTTCTCAGAGGCGCAAGTGGTGATGGCACTTTATTTTTGCTGCTTTCCTTCTGAGTGTCTCTGCTACTCTGTCGTCCATTGGCTACAAGGGAGCATGCTTTTTGAAAAGGAAATAGTTGACTCTTCTGTAGACGCCCCTGGAAATAGAGGTGATGGGACACTGCATCGGGCACCCCTGGGCGTTTTCTGAGGATCTGACGGGATCGCAGATGTGCTCGCCAGCAGGCAAACGTGAGATGTCCTGTTAAAGTCCTAGCAGGGCATCCACGGATGATGGGACGGTTTTCTCCTGGCCATATCATTCCTGCCCAGAGGCAAGCCAAGGCTGGCCCAGCTTTCTTCAAGGCCCCGGGGATGTCTCTCTATTCCACCTTTTTGTATTCAGCACAGTCATGTATTGCTTACACGACACTTAGTCAGTGATGGGCACATATCTGATGACCGCCCTATAGTCTACGCCAGCCAGCCTGGGTGTTGGGTGGGCTGGACCAGCCAGCCCGGGTGTGGGGTGGGCCAGACCAGGCAGCCCTGTGTGGGGTGGGCCAGATCACCTGGTCTTGTAAGTGTACAGATACTCCAATGTTCAATGACAAGTTCACCTAACACAGCATTTCTCAGAACCCATTCCTGTGGTTTAGTGATACAGTGTGTCTACCCTGTGCCTGCCACGCACTCACACACAGGTGGGAAATCAGGGTTTGGGCTAAGGATTCAGGTCTCCTCTGGGAACCTGTGTCTGGCCTCCACCTTAACATCTGTATGTGGTGCATACCCCAAGGCCAGCGTGGTCCTGCCCGCTAGCTCAAAGGTCTCTCTGGGGGCTGCCTGTTGGGAACTTTTTTCCTTCAAGGCTGGGCATTGTAAAATGGGTTAGGGAGTCAAATAAAGAATCTACAGCATGATTCACTCTGGGCTCAACCCCTACTACAAGATAGCGAACTCACAGCTGGTCCACGAGAAGTCTTCTGTGATTCAGGCTGCGTGTGGAGAACTGGTCTCCAGAAGGGCCTCCCTGACAACCACTTCAGCTCCAGGGGCCACCCGGGCCACCCAGTGCCTACTGCTTGTCCCTCCAAGACAGTGACTTTAACACAGGGACTCCATCCTGCCTGACCTAGGGATTCTTCAGAATTCAGTTTCTGTTCACTTGTCTTTTGGGGGGCCAGTTCTGACTTGCTGTGAGTTTTGGCAAGTGCCCAGTTGTGGGAAGAAACATCTGGTTTCTTTGCGATCTCTACCCTTGGCAACCAGGGAGTGATTTATATTTCTGACTGCAAAGCCCTCTGGTGCCCAGCCTTTCACTGCTTGTTGTCCTGCTCTCCTGGGTCTCGTGGGGCTGGGACGTTGGTGGGGAGGGCTTTGGTTCTCGTCCTTGTTAGCACTGATCTCAGCACTTGAAAAGTCACCATGGGGCTGACCACACCTTCTGGGACCAGGACCGTCTGAGGTGGGGCTGCCCCATAGCCACCCAGCTGGACCCGCTCCCAGCTTGGAGATCTGGCTGCTGCCTTTACCCTCTTTCCTCGGCACTGAGGCCCTCCCAAATATCTCTGGGTTCATGGGGCCCCTCTGTTTTGCCATCTTCTTTCTCCTTTTCAAGCAGGGAATCTTGTGTGCGCACGTGTGTGTGTGTGTGTGTGTGTGTGTGCGTGCGTGTGCTGGTGCGGATACATTTGCCATGTTCTTTCTCTGCACCAACCCTGCTGGAACTTGGCTTTTGAAGCTCCAGCCCTTTCTCCATTTTCTGAGGAGGCTCCCTCTCCTGAGACTCTAGTTCTGCATAAAGAATCTTGTCAGAGGGTGCACAGGAAAGCGAGAACTAAGGGAATTGTTCCTTTAAACATTTCAAGCAGCCCTGCCCCCTCTCGGAGCCCCTTAGCAAACTTGAGTCCAGACTCCTCTCAATCAAGAGTCATGTTTATTTAAAGTGTTTTTTTTTTCCAATTTTTAAAATATTTTATTAAAGTGGGTTTTTCACCATGTCTGTGGCCACGCGTGGGCTCTCAAGCATCTGGAGGCTTGTCGCTGAGGGGAGAGGCCGCCTTGGGAAGAACCAGCTATTCCTCTGGGACAGTCAGCAGCATGGACTCCTGTGGATAGAAGCAGGGAGGCACACAGAGAAACAGAGAGGTTCTGTCTGATTCTTTCTCTCTGATTTGGGGGAGATCCCTTCCCAGAATGGGAATCTTTCAAAGGCAGGAAACGAAGCAATCAATGGCATCTCTAAGTTCTGCCCCATCCACCAACTCCTAACAGCCTCTTCTTAGGCTCATCCCACTGAGGGTCGGTAAGAGGGCCAAGAAGGCAGCAAATTCTCCTGATTCCTCTGCTTGTTTTGTTTGTGGCCACATCTTCCCTCCCTGGTATTCAGCCAGAATGGGATCTGCCCTGGCTCCCACCCTCTGGGGGTTCACAGATGGCAGGTACCACAGGCAATAGCCCCTGTTCTGGGATTTGGACACAGTGTGTGGAGTTTTAGTGTGGTGGGTGGGTAAGTGTTCAGCCTTTGACATCAGATGAATCCCAGTTGGCATCTGGTTCTGCCACCATGGGCAAGTGCCCCTGAGCCTTTTCTGAAAGCTCCTTTCCCCAGCATTTACCTTGGAGAACTCCATTTGGGCCTTGTTGAAAGAGATGCCTTTGATATTGGGCAGTGGGAGGTCTTGTTCTCTGAGTAGCTCTGCAAGAGAGGTTGGGGAGGAGTTCAGAGCCCTGTGGGCAAAGGAGTCTGTGGTGTAGGGCTGGGAAGCAGTTTGGGGCCAGGCCAACTGACCCTGACCTTTGACTGTTCCACTGCCCAGAACAGAGAAGGGACTGGGTGTGCCCTCTTCTTCCCATCCCTTCCTCAGGGGGCACCATCTCATCCCCCATCAAGCCACTCCACTCCAGAAAGCCAGGTCTCCACCTGTCTGTTTCACCTATCAATTAAAAATCTATCTTACAGATATTCAGTAAGTAGGAACACACTTTTATGAAGACAGATCTCTTAGCAGCATTTTGAGTGTTCAGCTTGCTGAAGGCTTCTTATGAATCTCTTAATGAATTTTATTCTTGTAATTTTTTTTTTTTGAAAATGCTATCTGTGCCTAAAACACTAAAATGTTTGCAGACCAGAAAATGTCTCAGGCAAGGATTAGAAGGAAATTGATATGAACTGAAAAGTTAACCTTAGAGCACCAGAAAGGTGTACTCATAAGGAAATAGTCATTAAATATATTGAAGAAGAAATATACTCAGTGATCAAATATATGAAAAAGAGTCTTAATGCAAGCATTTGGTAAACTGATCAATGTGGTTAACTTGGAGAATTGGTCATTTTGCAAGCTGAGTTTCAATGAATTAATTGTGGCCCCTTAGTTTTTGGCAAATGGAGTTTCTGAGATTGACCTTGAGGACCTGGCCTGGGCCTTCCTGTTCTCTCCTCTGCACTGACTAGGCTTTTATGAATCTCTACCCTGCCAGTTCTCTCACCCTCAAGCCACTTCTTCCAGGTAGCTTTCCTGGATTTCTACAGCAGCTTTGACTCTTTTGTTCCTAGTAAGTGAGATTTGGACAGGACTCTAGTGTGACTAACATCCCCTGG